AAATAAAATAGTTCTTAAGGCAAACTTTGTCGTTTTGGGGAATAATTGGGTTCACATATTAACAAAACAGGTATATGTGATGTTTTTATATATAAAAAAACCCACTCATTATTAATTTTGTAAAACAGTGAGTTACTGATACTAATTCAATATATAATTACTTACTATGTTTATTGGAGATAACCGTGCGCCAGCGGCTGTCACGTAAACTTGTTCGGATGTCGTTCCGTACAAGTAGCCCCCGAACGTGACGATAGGAGAGGTATGACGTACGGTGTGAGTTCCGCCAGAGACCATGATGTGGCCTATCACGTATTCCGTTCCATAAACAGATTGATAGTTAGTGGAAGCCGGAAACATAGCCCCATCTATTCTCAATCCGGTTTTTTCTTCTCCATTTACAATGATCATTAACATGTTTTCAAATTGACCATAACTGGAGCTCGGAGTAGTGAAGGTATAGCCGGCGCCATATTGCTCTACGGGTGGAACTGTCATCATGGGGGTGTCTGTGCTCGTCTGACCCGTAGAAAACTGAGCCAGAAGAACAGGCTTATCCGCTTCAATTTTACAATATTCTGGTGAACTTATATCGTACTCAGCTATTTCACCTGCTTTCGATAACGTCAAAGGGACCTCCGATCCGTATCCACACGTTTTGAAGATACTTGTTTTGTTTGTACTGGCAACAACTTTTAACAAATTGCTAGTAGCATGTTCAGGAATTGGAGATGTGATGAAGGTTTTACCCCATGTCTTCACGGCAGGTAATTGTGCAATGATATGTTTGTCGGGTCCTCGGATGTTCACATCAGCAGCAGATCCCTTATTCCCGCTGAACACGGCGATGTTCTTGTCTGCATTGATTTTCGTTCCACTGAGATCTCCTTGACTGGTGAAATGGAAAGTTTCAAATCGGTTCAAATTTAGTTCGATTCTGTCACCAGAGCTGTAAGTTCCTCCTTCGTAGGTCACCGTGTTACGCAGAAGTGCTTCACCCAAACTAATATGAACGACAGTTGATTCGTTCACACCTACCAACATTACCTGGCTTTGCGTTAGTTCTGATTCTTTTGTAATGACAAAGTAATTCGTACCGAGCACGTCCGTTGGCAGAGCAACAAAGAAATCACGAGATTCTCTCACAGAATCTAATCCGAAAACTGAGATTTCGTCGTTAGCCGTCACTAGTATGCCTTTTGCATCCTTCTGTGTTTCCTTCATACGTATATTCGCTGATATTGTTATTTCCTTGGTGACACCAGCGGTTACATTGAAAGAAGTCTCGCTAATAGATACCAATTGGAACATTGGTGCCGTGACCAGGACATTAACGGTTTTAGTTTTTACAGTTGTTATGTAAAGCAGAACATCTCGGTCAGCATCTATCATGTCGGTGAATCCCAGAAGGAACTCGGTGCCAGCATTGTCCGGTGCAGCTGCGAATATAGTTAACAACTGGATGTATTCTAATAATGATTACGAAATGTAAACTTGAGAAGCATTTCTTGGACCGTTATTAAAGCTAATATGTGATTTTGTTGTATTTTTCATTTAAAATTTAATAAACATAGTGATCTTTGCTTCATTATTCATCAAAAATATATTTATAAATCACAACCGTTATAAACAAAACACGGAATCACAATGAGTATTGTTATATTTGGTGTGAAGTTTATCATATTTTCTGCCAATATTTACATCATTTTTATGGACCGCGTTTACCTATTCAAAAAGGATATAGGTCCACCTAGTACGAAAACAATTACCATGAAACATCCTGAACTTATTTTCATAATTTAAGAATGAAAACACTTATTTTCGGCGCCGCTTTCTAGTATACATTGTTTTTCAGAAGATATTTCTCGTATGACGAGAAATTAAGCAGAAATTGAATCACCGACAGCACAGTGAAATCCTGTTTAATAAAAAAAAAGATATCAGTACTAATTAATTTAATATCCCCGGACCCTTCTGGGAGACTTCATCGAAGAAGTGTCCGGTGGTCAGGAATGCTATTTGAACGAATAGGTTTTTTAACATTACTGCTAAGATTACTTTAAAAGTATAAATTTAAAGAATGGTCTTGCCATCATTGTGACACGTGCTAAAATAATGCTATACTTGTTCTATGCATTGAAGGACAATTAAAAGATTCACCAAAATTGCAATATATACATGTAGTCACAAACATTCATATCAATTTTCTACATTGAGACTAGGTTTCCATATCTGATTTACATATGTTTTTATTATTCATATTCTCTTCGTTTCATTAACCGCACAAGTTAATCTACACACATTGTCAAATAAACATTTTTGGGATAGAAATTCAAATAATCTTTTCAATGGAGTCCGTTTATTCCAGTGCAACACAACGCATGTATACAGTGACTATATCATATTAAGAGATATTCGGATTCGCTTATGAAATTATAGTGGTTAAGTTATGTAACATTTTTAGTAACGTCAGTGATGGTTTGTCATAAGGAAAATAACTCACCTGTCTGATGACTTGATGTATGGAACATGGCATAAAGTAGGATCACCCACAGACGAGTCATGTTGCCTTTGAAGTGTCGACTCTATTCAAATCGACCTTACTATAATCACCGACATATTACTGCGACGCTTATCCATGATATCCATAAAAGTGGCGGACAGAATCCTAATTAATTATTCACGAGAATCATGACCAGGCTATCGCCATAATCCAATGGTTGCTAGTCCCATTAGTGTAATGATGCGTTAAGTCAGCTTTTCAAACTCAAATTTAGAAAAACGGGGTTTACCTGAAGAATCCCATTTTAAATCCAAGAAAAATAGGTCCAATTTAAGGAGATGGGTTAATTAGGACGATAGTAGGGGATCCGGAGGGTACCAAAAACCGGAACACTTCATTATATCTGTCTGTTTGTGAAATGAGACCATTTAATATATTTTTCTCGTTTTATATAAGTTTTGAATTTTCTGATATACCCTATTCTTTGGTTTATTAAGATGTTCGCTTTATTACTTTGTGTTGGTTATTGTTCATTATTAGTCTCAGTCAACCAGACGCTTGATCACTTAATTAGCGTAGCTTGCGCAGACAACAAGAGTCTGGTTGAACGAGACTAATATGTTATACGCCATAATAGGACTGAGGTCAGAATTAAATGCTTCCGGGTTCAGTACCCGGGTTCAGTACCCACGAATGAAGTCCCTTAGAAATATAGGTACTTTAGTAAAAACTATACTATGCCTCTTAGAACTTGGTGTTTGTGTAAAAGTTTGATGTTAAAATACTGTGGAGATATCAATCTAACAATTTCTGTGTCAAATTTTTATATTGTGCATTAATTTTTTGTGCAGGGTGCTATGTGAAAAGGCCTGTGTTTACCTCTACCCCTGTCCCGGAAGTTTATTTTTGACATTGGTGACACATGCAGACGATTATCTCAAGAAAAAGGCCAAAATGCAATGTTGAAATTTTGATATTTTACTCCCAAGATGTTGCCCAGGTTAGATGGAAAGTTGGCTATCGGATATTGGGAATTTGTTATAAAATTAAATGTTACAATGAAACATATAGTAAATTAATTGTGGTCTTAGTCCATGTTGAAATTTATCAACAAGAGTTAACGAGCAACTTAAACGGAAAAAGCAGACGAAACTTGCTCTTGTTGGTTGACACTTAATTCATTTTAATTTTAACTAGAAACCATTCACTTGTATTGCAAAATAAAATGCTGGGTCATATACATTTGAAAAGTGTTCCGTTCCTTTTTGGTTTCCTGTCGCTACATGTGTCCGGAACAGAGGTAACAGTTTTAAATTCAGCCTTTAGCTTGACAACAAGGAATGCGACTGGGAGATGTACCAATAGCCTGCTGTCTGTAATGGCACCCGTGTACTTTTATGTAGCCAATACATATATGTAAGTGGGAAACAACTACTCATGGTGTCCTGACTTGATAACCAAATAATTTGATAACTGATCATTGACTGGTTAATTCTAGAATCTTTAAATTGTCCAAAAGTTATCAGTAGTACTATCAGCATTGTGAAGGTCAAACTATTTTTCGTGAAGACAGGTTGCATTCGTTTTTCTTGTATTTTTTTCTTGTGGTATATGGTATTTAATTATCTCTGCAAAAAACACAACATCGGCGCTTTATCATTTACAGACGATATGAAGATAAAAATCAGGATTACTTCCCTTGTATTGAGCGAGAAACAGAGTGAAAGCGAAAAATAGAGTGAAGAAACGGCGGTGTCATGTATAGTGAAAACCAAGGTTCTAGGATTCCGATTATTGGCATATAGTGCATTCAGTAATGAAAATCGATTCTTTACAGAAATGAAGAGTTAAGTTATTGGTGGGTGCAGATGATGGATCTATAATTCAGTTTTTAGAAATCTAGTTCAGACTAAATAAATACTTTTGTAAAATTATATTTGAATCAAAGTCACGTTCTGCGTCTTTTGCAAGGAAATATATAACGATTGAAAATATTTTAACCAAAAACTGAGTAGGAGCATGTGGGCAAATCCAGATTGTTATGGCAACAATAGAAGACAAGATACTGTTATATGAGTGTGTCTATTAGATGTTTTATTTGCTGTAAATACTGTTAACATNCCCCCCCAAAAAAAAAACCCGAAAAAAACATTTATACTCCAGATTCTAATGGTAAGGTTTTTCCCCTGGTCTAATCGAAAATCATGAATACACTTTTTACTGTTGCTTGCAGTCTTTTTGTTTGATCAGGCCTTAATTTACAACCAAAACTAACATACAGCATTGGTTTTCACACGCAAACTCTGGCATGCTATCTGTATATATAGTTGGTCCTGTTTTTCACTGATATACATGTACCTCCCGTATGAGTATTAACTACTGGGATATGCCTCGATGTTATGATTTACCGGTCAAACGCTAGAAAGCACGTTACCATAACATCATAGTAATACGTCATTGTGGAATTATAAAAAAACGACAAAACGTCGACCTTTTTTGTAGCTTTATTCTACATGTTCACGTTAATATATCCACAGTGTTTTACATCAGACAGTTGAACTTATGTATCAAATGAAACCGTATTAGTTCGAACATTTTTGTCTCCTTAATAACATCCAGAAAACAAGGTATGTAATATATATTGATAATACGTTAAACGGAAATTAAAGATTGAATGTAAGAGTCCGGACAGCACACCATCCGGAATTTCCAGGTCAGAATAACGAAATAACATTTTAATGGGTGTTATAGAGCACGATTAGGAAATACACAATGATTAAGTTCACAGTTCTATGTTTATATATCATGAACTAAAATATTAATTTTCCAGAATGACAACAATTTTCACAGGATCTATTTTCTCAATAAAATATTTTAACGAGAGAACAACGTAATATATACATTGTAATAGGGTTGTCTATTTTACAACATTATGGAAAAATAGAATTGCATTTTATGAGATTTGAAACAGCACAATATGAATATATTAAAAACATATTTTCGTTTTTGTTTTATCCAATGGACTGAGACGTTCATATTACTGGTATTATTTCTGACCAATATGACGTCCGGATCAGTAAGGACTCCACGTGAATATTTTGTACATTTACACAGATTTTGTACATTGCTTAATTTGCTTATCAATTATATTTATCATTGTACAGTAAAAAACGTTGACAGTTGCACGTAGGCCGTCCATAAGGTCCCGGTAAGACGTACAGAACGAGTACAAACGTATGAGAACAACGATGGACGAGTAAGTATAAGGCACCAGATCACCGGCGGATGATGACGTCACGTTTATTAACAGTCTTAGAGCAGGGGTTGCTGGATCAACTTTAATAACACCCAGGCAGCTAAAGGTATCGTAAGTAAACCTGAAAATAGATCAACTCACATTAATAAACCAAAACAAACGATTACTGTTAACATGAAAATAATTATAAATAATGATTAGTGCCCCTTAAAACTTAACTCATTAATCTATGTACTCACTTACACCTTGTCTTTCACGCTCATCTTACCATACTAACCAAGTAGTTTTTCCAACTCACATTTATGTATTTTCTACCCATGTACCTTTATCAGTCAGGTTCCACTATGGACAGGTATGAAGTGATTACAACATATGTACTCGCATCCAATTTCATCTAAGAAAAAACGTACACCCTCCACTATATGATCAATTCTATACTAACCTTGACCCATGTACTCACTACTACTCTTACCCATGAATTGCCTAACACTCATGCTCATGCATTCACTGTCTTTCACGTCAATTAACACTCACACCAATATACTCAATTAACACTCCCACCAATATACTCAATTAACAATCACACCAATATACTAAATTAACACTCACACCAATATACTCAATTAACACTGACACCAATATACTCAATTAACACTGACACCAATATACTCAATTAACACTCACACCAATATACTCAATTAACACTCACACCAATATACTCAATTAACACTCACACCAATATACTCAATTAACACTCACACCAATATACTCAATTAA